TTCCCTCTTCAGATTAGTTTGATTCACACATGTAAACCTTCAGCAAGGCCTATCAGAGCATCAAGTTCCAATTTTTTCTTTTTGCTGGTGCTGTTGATTGGGCTCCTCTTGGCTTTTATCCCTTTGGGAGTCAGCATAGCACAGTAAGTGACAATTTAACTTTTATGAAATTGACATTTGCTTTAATGTTAAGGTTGTCAGTTCCTTAAAAGCAGACATGCAACTTTGGAGTGACAAATTAGAATAAAATATGCTCGTGTATAGTAAATTATTACTTAGTCCATACACATTAAAATTACTCTTTTAAAGGCAAAGGCTATTTTTGCATCGTGAGGAAAATTGTGTTGAGATTGTGTTGGACTATTTTATCTTGATGTTTTGATACAGCATCTCTTTTCTGTTTTGTTTTTCTGACAGTATCCCCTCCTCTAAGGCATGTGGGCCATTCAGGAATTTTAACACTTCTTGGGCAGTTGTTCCAGATACCATACTTGGGTTTCCAGCTGGTTTGCAGAAGTTCCTTTATGGTATAGCGTCAGAAGCCTTTGCGGTGCCTTTTTTTATGGTTATCTGGTGCGTACTCTGGAGACCTGGTTTAGTCGTGCAGCTGCATGGTTCATTTCCTTCCTTACTGAACAGATACCGCAAGTATTAGACCGGACTTGCTCTCTGCAGTCAGAGGCATCACAGCCCATATCAAGTTCTTATGTCTTTGCCCATTACTCACATTCCTTAGCTTTATTCCCTTTCCTCCTAGATGTCCCATATCCCTCACTTGTCTTTCTCAAAAGCATTAGCTACCAATCATTCTGCAGATCTGGTATTCACAAATCCTGTCCACAAGCCTTGGTTTAAAAAACAGTCATTCTAGAAGGTAAAATTCAATGTAGAATCATAGAATGGTTAAGGTTGGAAGGCATCTCTGGTTATTACCTAGTGCCTTGCTCAAAGCAGGGTCAGCTAGAGCCGGTTTGCCCGGGTCCATGCTCAGTCGGGTTTTGAATATCTCCAGGGATGGAAATTGCCCAGCTTCTCTGGGCAACCTGTTCCAGTGATTGATCACCTTTACAGTAAAAAAGCTGGATTTTTTTTTTCCCTTATGTTTAAACAATTTTTTTTTATTTCAGCGTAACCTGACTGTTTTCAGGTCTTAGAGCCTTGTTACATGAGACTTTCTGTAACTTCTGCACTTGAGAAACCATGCAATTTATTTCAGGTTCCACCCACCTTTTCTTCCTGAACACCTGTTTATGTGTTCTCCTGAACTGTCATTGTGTACACAGGAAATATCAAGTCCTCTCTTTTGGTTAGTGTTGGGACGTAGATATTTGGGGTGGAGGCGAGGTGATACCCAGAGTTCTTTCTAATAACTTTTCATAAAGCCTATGTAGCAGACAAAAGGGGAGTTGTACTGCTACCCTAATACTTCTTATCTGGAAGAGAAAAGATGTGATTTACATAGGCATTTGTGACATTCTAGTTCTTGCTACTGCTCTTCATTTCATGGACTGTGGATAACATTCTGGGTGACAGATTACATCAGAAATACATGATATAAAGCATTGATGCAGTATTACTCTGTAGCTGTTTACCATAACCAAACCACAGCAGAAGCAAGGAGTTACTCCAGTGAAACTCATTAAACTTGATTTCTGATGAGCCTTCCCCACCCCCCACACCATGTTTAGAGCAGGGCAGGAACTGATGGCCTAGAAAAAGCTCTTAGGGTGCAATCTGTAACCTCTGCAGGATGTCCTGCCTCTGCATCCTCTAGCACTCTGTACCTCCCTGCTGACAGCACAAATATCTTGGTAGCTGCTTTCAGTCAGGGCTATGCCCTGTCTTCCCATGCTGTATGTTATTCCCCCTCCCATCCCCCTGCCCAGCAGCTTCTCTACTATCTGAAGTGAATGCCCAAATTGGCAATTCCTCTGGCCTTTAACAGCTTTTTTTAACTGATTCTGTGTTTTGCATAATATTAATGTAATGCTGGTTTGCTGTTTGCAGCATCGTTATGTTCTATTTCATTGCCTTGGCTGAAGCACACAAACGAGTTGTTCAGCAGCTGAGGGAACAACTGGTTATGGTGAGATTAGACACATTACTTCTTTTTTTACTGCTTAAGTTTTCTTTGTGTGTTGCATCAGTGATCAGGAGCGCAGAGGAACAGCAGTTTTCTTAGTCTTCCAATTATTTGGTGTTTGGACAGGCAATGAAGAAAGTTTTACAAGTTATACAGGAAAAATCCCAAGCACTAAAGCATTCTTCAGTCTAGTTGGTTTACTTGGGTATCAGCAGCAGCTGGAGCAAGGCCCAGTTATGTCAGCCCACACACGTGTGGGACAGGATGCGCCCCTATGGTGTGGTGCCCCTGTTCTTTACCCACGGTCTTGCGTATGTTTGATCCTGCCAAAGTAGAACCTGAATCTTGTGCCTTCTGCCCCCTCCGCCATTTTACACAACCCCCATCTCTTACCGTCTCCACTCTCGCAAGCAAGAACCTCGTTTTTCCTACCTCGTCGTATTTGGTCTGTTTTCTGAGTGGAGGTCCCAGTACTGCCTGCAACAGATACTCTAGGTACAGCGAGAGATGGAGCAAGTCACCGCTAACAAATCTTTCTGAAAATGTTGCCAGTGCAGATATGCTTATTTGCAGGCCATCAGAGGCTGCTGCCATGCACCAGTTTGATAGCGTTCACATGCTGTGTTCTGAGAAGCTGTGCTGAAGCCAAAATCTAGCCTTGCTAGTAAGGCTTTCAAAGCTTTTTAGGAAGTAGCCCCTCTTTTACTGTATGTTAAATATGGCATTTAAATATGGCATTGTAAGAAAAGCAGTGGGTTCAGCGGAGATATTGAAGAGTAAGTGATTTTGGAGTGAAATTCTTGCTGCTTTGTGAAGGACTCCTATCTGGACTCCTATCTGGACTCCTGTCTTGGCAGTACAATTTTAAAGTTTTATGTGTGTGTCGGATGTTTTTACTAGGCCCAACACAGAACTGTTAACGTGACCTAACGTGAGGTGAATGAAGTCAAGACCGTTGTAGACCTAAAATTGTTTAGACAGCTGAGAGAGTGTGGGGAGCCACTAATCAGCTTAGCATGTAGTGAATACGCTGCTCTGTTTCTCATAAAGACATGAGTTGAATAGAGGTCATTTGTAGTTCCTTCTTCTGTTTATCTAAAAGGCGTATGTTTTATTCTGTCTTTCCAGGAGAGTCGTGACAAGCTGTTCCTAATCAGAAAGATAACAGAAGCTCAGAAGCATACTTGAAAACCCCCCAAAAAACAGAACTTGACTTTCTGAAACTTCCAGAACCACTAGATAAGAGTAGAAATGTCTACAGCACTTAAACCGAATAGCTGACGAGCACCTTGACTCTGCAGTCTATGTAATGAATGTTTTACGTTCTTAATGTTGATTAAGCTAATGGGGCTTAAAAGTTACCCAGACTTGAAATTTAACTTACTTGTACTGTATTAGCCCTGTCCAAAAAATTCAATGGTAGGATGCTTTATTGCTGCTAGAGTTTCAAGGTTGTCAGTGTTTATGTTAAATCCCAGTATTTCTAGGGATTTTGGGTAAAACATGCTCAGAACTGAGATTCCGTTCAGAAACTCTCTGAAGTGCTTTTATAAATTAAGCTTAAGAATTGGTGGGGAGGAGGAGCGATTTTACATGTTTGCAACTCATTTCTCTTTTAAAACCAAAGCAAAAGAAACACTTAAGTCAGTATTTTGAAATAGTGCATTGGAGGGAAAATACTGCATGAGTTTTAAATCAGTTTTCTAAGTATTTCTCTAAATTTTAGAGAAGAGGCTTAGACCTTTTGCTCTGAAGTAGCAACTGCAGTTGAACACTAGATAACCGACGAAAATGATTTAGGAAAAAACAAGCAGATAAAAGAATTCTGAATAAATGCTAGAAGAAACCACCAGTTGTCTGAACACGGAGGGGTGTACATCTCTAACAAAGGCAGTCAGTGGCTGTGATACTAGTCCTGCTGCTAGGGATTGGCCTTTGTTTAAACATGTAAGGCTTTCTTGCAGTTTAGTCTGCCCACAAACATCTGGAATACTATTCTTTCTGTTCTAAAATGTGAATGCTGGAGAGTTTAAACAAGTCATTTATAATACAGAAATATAACATTCAGAAACTTTCATGTGCCCGCACCCTTTACGTTCACCGTGATTCTTACCCCCGAAGTGAATCGACGGAGCTGTGTGCCTCTGAGATCAGTATTTCTAAGCAGCCTACTGGGTTTTTTTTTCCTGTATTTGAAGACTGTGGTTCTGTTAAGGATTTTCTGTAGAGAATTCTGGTTGCGTACATTTCTTGAAAGCTATAGTGTAATTAATATGTGAGATGTTGTAGTCTTGTTGTATAATGTTTTGGAAATTTTTTTCTATCTTCTTTTTCAAGAAAGTAACATGCAATAAACGACTCGATTTTTCTTTTTTAATAATGCAGTGTCCGGGGCTTTTATTGAACACTGGAGGTGAGTTGACCTGCGGAGGTTGCGCCCCTCCGTCTTCCTTACCCTCTGG